ATTCTGTGTTTTTCTGTCAATATGGGGTGCTGTGTGTACATTAATGAGGAAAAAAATGAACTTAAATGATTTTAGCATATGGCTGCAATATAACAAAGAGTGAAAAATTTAAGGGGGTCTGAATACTTTCCGTACCCACTGTACCTGTGCTCTTGTGTAATGTTGTCAGATAGAGTGCAATAAATGTTTTATCTATTTTTGAATGTGCTTCAGGGGAATTATAAGAGGAATATTACATGGTAACAGTCTGTCTGTGCAAATTCTCAGTCAAATTTATGGTAACAGTCAAATTTTCACCTTATAATTGCAGCATGGCAGTCTTCTGTTTCTTCATTTTAGAAATTACCATCGAATTAATTTGTAATTCCATTGCCCACATTTGCATTGCCATTGTGTACAATTAGGTGAGCCGTCTGCTGATGCTCGGTGGGGCGAACGTGAATTACCGCACAGAGGTCTTGAACAACGCGCCAGTGTTGTGTGTGCAGTGCCACCTTGGACACCAAGAAATTGCCGCACTACTGCTCGAGTTTGGTGCCAGTGTAGACGTGGTGTCTGAAAATGGCATGAACCCCCTCTGCTTCTCGGCCGCTGCAGGACACCTGGGACTAGCTATGCTTCTCTGCAAAAGGGGGGTCAAGGTGAGGAGCTTGCTTTTGTAGCCATCTGCGAGTTTGTGGCATTTATACACCGATGCAGCATATCATTTATGCACAGTGGGGCATATTACTTGTGTTTCTCTGTCATAAAACCAAGGATCTTGTGTTACTGCCAGGTTGATCATGTGGATAAGAGTGGCCAATGCGCATTAGTCCATGCTGCTCTTCGAGGACACCTGGACATTATCCAGTACCTGCTGGAGTTGGACTGGATTGTTGAGGGGCAACAGCAGCAGCAGGACTGTGCTCTGAAGAACAAAGCTCTGCAGCAGGCTTTGATCGCAGCCTCCAGCATGGGACACACACAGGTCTGACTGACGCACACTTTACACACAATTAACCCTCAGCAGTCCCCCAACACACATAAAGACAAGTTTTTATGCCCTCTTAATGAAACCATAAGTCACTACAAAAAGCAATGTGTTTGAAAGAAAAAACTAAGCCTGCCCCTGACCTACAAAACGCTACACGTTGAATTCTGCATCACCTCTCTTCTTTCCTGTGTGCTTTCACAACAATCTCCAATTTCAGATTTTTCAGAGAGCAGAGGAAACTAATGATAAAATCTGAGCACATGTTCTCAGTGATGATGACTTCAAGTGTAAAATGTCATTCAGCTGTGTATGTCTGAAAGCTGGATTTGGGGATTGATCACGGGGCAGTGCCTTCAGCTGCCCAGGTGCGATAAGACTCCAAGTTTATTTTGGCTTCCTCATTAGCTGGAGTGGGATCCTGAGGCCAAGCTTAGAAAAACAGAACTGGGCCAGCTAAGCTCACAACTCGCATGTAGAAGGAGACCCCAGTACAGTTAAAATATTAATCAGAGTGGACTCATAACCTCTTAGGCACCAGCAGTTCTTTGGTCTTCTCTAATTAATTCATTATGATTTTTGTATTTTTGTTGTCACTGCTATGTAACCTGCATGTTGTATAACCTCTTGAAGCTTAATTTGATATCTTATGCTGGAACAGAAAGCCATTAATCTTTTTTTTTTTTTTGACAGGTTGTGAGTGGCTTGCTGGCTTTGAATAATGAGCATGCTGTGCAAGTTGATGGCTACGACACTCTGTGGGGAGAGACAGGTATGTTTTCATCCATCTTTTTGCATTACATGGCCCTCTTGTGTTGTCATCTGCTGTTTTAGCATTCTGGACCTCACTGCAGTAATTCCATGCTGCAGTGGAAGCACTTGTATCTTTCTTCTGCACAGTAGTGCTCTCTGTAATTCTGGCTGACTGTTCCAAGTTCTCTTATTGTGGTCACACGTGTTTCTGCTATAGACTGTGCCTTTTTAAAATCAACTTATATTTAAAAAAATAATAATAAAAATTATCGGGTAAATGACCACTTGTACATAAATCAGTGTGATAATATTTATGTAAAATGAGAAAAATGTTGTGTTTTGCTTTAAATTCTTAATTTGGGTCTTAGTTGGTCGCATCCTAATGAAAAGAGGGCGGTGTTTATGACCTATACAGCAACCAGCCACCAGGGGACGATCACGGTGGCTTTACTTCTAGGGCGCTGTCACGTTGTTCATCTTATGTACAGTCTATGGTTTCTACTTAGTTTTATCAGCACAACATTTTTCCTCTAACCATTTATTTTCCACCATCCTGCTGCATTTCAGCTACAGTTTCTCCTTGGTGCTCTGTGGCAAGATACTGCCAACAGTTTGAACATTTTTTGAAGTTACTCCATCTGTTGAAGGCAGGGGGTAGCTGTAGAATTATATACTGAAACTTTTACTTTTAATTCAGATGTGTTGCTGTTTTTCCTGAAGGGGTTTGCAGAAGTACTTTTACCTTTGTTCTTTGCCATCATTAAATTAAAGCAATGACAGGAAGCAAGAAGCAGAGTTTACCAGTCAGCAGTGGATGTTGTGGACAGTGGCTGCTGTTAATGGCCTGCTCAAAGCCATTTGTGATTGATTGAGGAGATAGCACAAAATCTGTTCGGAGCAGCAGGGAACAATAAAGTCTAAAAGCAGGAGGTGGCAGTCAGCTGTAAGACTGGTCACATAAAAGCTGAACAAAGCAGCAGAGAGCAGTTGTTTTTTATTTTTTGGACAGAACCTTCACATAAGAGCTCATCTGCACAAAAGACCACATCAGCAGTATCTTGATTTAAAATATATATTTTGGATGATGTGCTGATAAATGTGTTATATGGTATGTACAGGTAGCTGAGCACTGCAGTCATTATCAGTGTACACCAAGGAGTGGTCACACAGTAGGAATTTGAAGGCAAATGTTTCTGATGCATTATGAAAATTTTAGCCATGCACAGTATTTCTTATGAGTTTTAGGGCAAAATGTTTAGAAATGTTGGACTCACTGAAATGTTCTTTTGTCCTCAATGTGAGTGTTTGGGGCTCTAGAGCTGTAAATGTTCACATTGCACCCCTTAAAGACATTTGTCCATCTTTTGAGTTGTATTAATAAACCTGATATGTAGCCTAGCTCTCTATGACTATGACTATGACTTTGAATGATAGTAATCCTACTCTCACAAACATTAGAGCTACCTGATGCTGCAGCATTTACAAAGTGGCTGTTAAATGAAAGCCACAACTCTCCTGCCATCCCTTCCAAAGTAATGAAATAGCAGGTCACATGTAGCGATGGAAAGGCGCTGAGCTCTGAGTCTACTGACCTGAAACAAAGTGACTCCCAAGCCACCGGCACCACTGCATATATACAGTAAATATTTTTGTACCGACTTGGTCGTCATTTAAAAGAAGATCCCATCTCATCTGTATTCACAGCAAATAGATTAGTAAGCACAATTATGACCATAATGTTGATTTTGTGCACTGGGTTGTGCTTTGAACAACACAAACAAAAAATAATTATTGGTTTATTACAGCTAGAGACCTAGCGTTTGAAGATTTCACTGCATGGCAGTAAAAACGACTGAGCCCATGATGACTACATGCAATCAACAGAAGTGATTAGCACTGAGTGCTATAATAAATTCTGTTTCACCTCAGATCCCTCTTCAGATTCTGTGCAGATTTAATAAACTAAATTGGTAGAGGCCTGATACACAGAATACCAAACCTGAGACAAAGTTCCTCAGATACCCCCTGAAAACTTGGCCATTCATTGTTGTGTGTGTGAAACAAATCTCAGATAATAACCTGCCTCTGTGAAAATTTATTTCACATTTAAAAGTGAACATAATATTACATCTCTGTGCAAATAGGCGCACTGTCTCCTGTGTTTAAATAGAAGCAGATTGGATTGTACGTCTGTGCAACTTTTAGGATCCTCTCTTAGGATGAAAGATGCTTCCTTCTTACGCAAAGAAAAGTCATTTAACTACTTGGAATCATTCTCATTGTTATAAACAAACAGCACACAAAATTGTGATCTTTCATAAATTATATATCAGGAGATTTTTGTGTGTGTCCATGGGATGTACAGCTGAGTACACACCAATCTGTTGTAAAGACTGTAAAGCCCTTTGAGGCAAATGTGTGATTTGTCATATTGGCCAATGCAAATACAATTTGACTTGAGTATTAGGCAGTACAAAAATACCAAGCCTATAATATATATAATATATAACGTATGACAGATGTAGTTGCCAGTGGGCATTTTATTGTTGGCACTTCTTGTCATGGCAATATTCCTTTAATTTGAGTCAGGATTCATCATTGTTTTGGCGTTGTGTGTGTTTATTCCTGTGCCATGATTTACTCTAATTGGTGGTTTGTGCTCATGCAGCTCTCTTCTGAGTGCTCCACAACACCAGACTTAAGGCTCTGACAGTGGTTTCCAGATACTGGACAATAGATTCTTGCTGCTCTTTTTTGCATTTGAAAGTTCTTATTTTGTTTTAATGCATTGCTGTTGTGTATGAAATGTGCTACACATAAAAACTTGGCTTGTCTAATAGTTAGGACTTTCATGCACTGGGCAAAGTCTGGAAATGTACAGTATGGCCTGAGGTCTTTTTTCTCTGCACAAAGCCCTGCTGTTATTTCCTTTTATACTGTATGTGCAAAAGATAAAGCGTTCATACTGTACAATAAGAGCACAGCGTGAGCTGACACTGTGTGTGTTCAGATCTTTGGGCAAAAGATGCACTTTATTCTGGCGTCAAGTGACAAACACCTGCACTTTTGTGTGCAGCAAAACCAACAATCTGTTTACCATTTTCTGATGAGAAGCTTCTCTTTGCAATTCATTCATCATCCAAGTTATCGTGCTTCTGGACAGGAAGTGAAATTGACATTAAATGCCCCTAAATAACCACTTGCAGTCACAAACCTTCACCTTAGCTGTAGAAAGCTTTGCTAATTTTTGTCTTTACATGTGGTGTAGAAACGTCCTTTGGCATAGAGAAAATGTTGTTGTGAATGACTCAAAACATGGAGAACTACCTAGGAATAGAATGAGTTAAATGAAAAACAAATTGCTGTCAAACATCAGCGGTCAGTAGTATATTCATTGTAACCCAGGACCATCCCAGGTGCCGCTAGCGCTAACGATAGCTACTCCGGGCCATTGTTCTCTGCTATGTTGTGTGTGAGGGATATTCATATTGTTAGCAGATAGAGGGTGGGCGTGTTTGGCTCTGGTGACTGTTCATCCAGATGGATGATGTCAGTCAGATGCGGAGGCTCAGCGGCACCTTAAGCCTCTGGGGGGGTGAATGTGAGAACAGAGCTGTTCTGATTCTTGCGGTGGATTTCTGTTTGGACAAGCAGCGCTGGGTCTAGACCGACCCAGCTGCTGCCATACATCAGCAGCTGTGGATTAACTGTAAGCACTAAACATTTCAACAATGTTTTATTTGCAGACCCAAAAACAAGCACAAACTAATAAATGATTTCCCCCCTTTCTGTTTAAAATAAATTACAGTTAATCATGGTCTGAATACAAAATATGAATGGGTGTTAAACAGAATTGTTTGACTTTGTTGTCTGCTGATGCATAAAATGACTAAATTCTCATTGTTGTGTAGAAGACCCTGGGAGCTTGAGACAGGAATTTAATGGGTTTAGTAAGCATAACATAATTGTCTGTTTTAAACTCAATTAGCACCAAACATTAGTCTGCATTTCTCTGCTCTAATCTGTGAAGAACACGAGAGGTTCTGAACAGTGTCTGTGTACTCTACATGTTATCACATTCACTAATCTTCTTGAATCCGGTGTCCTTTCTAGCTAAGCAGAATCTCGTACTGTAGTCTTATCTTAACTTGTTCCTCTCTCTCTGTGTGTGTGTGTGTGTGTGTGTGTGTGTGTTCTTCTCTCCTCCCTTTAGCCTTGACAGCAGCAGCAGGCCGGGGGAAAATGGAGGTATGCAGTTTGCTGTTGGAGCAAGGGGCGGTGGTACAGCAGGTCAACCGGCGAGGGGTGTCTCCTCTCTTCTGTGCCGTCAGACAGGGACACTGGCAGGTGAGACACACAGAGTACATCTTTTGTCCCAGACAAGCTATTCCTGCAACATGTTTGTGCTTCAGATTATTTTTTTTTTTAATAACTGGTCTAATTGTTGCTGGGTGCAATGTTGCTGTCCCTGCCAAATGCACAAACTAGAGCTGCGTGCACTTGAATGCATGTGATGTCTGTTCTTTCACTGTTTTTGTTCATCTCATAGATTGCAGAGCTGCTGTTGCAGCACGGTGCTGACATTAACATCAGCGACAAGCAGGGCAGGACCCTACTCATGGTGGCCGCCTGTGAGGGCCACCTGAGCACTGTTGAGTTTCTGCTTTCTAAAGGTGAGCTACAGCAGCATCACCAGCACAGGACGACACCCCCTGTTCATCTCATTCACCAAGCAATTCCACTAGATTTGTATGCAGCTTCTGTTTGTCTCAAAGGTGCATCTTTAACTTCGATGGACAAGGAGGGACTGACACCCCTGAGCTGGGCTTGTTTGAAAGGACACAAGAATGTAGTGCAGTTTTTGGTGGAGAAAGGTGCAGTGATCGACCACACGGACAAAAACGGACGAACTCCGCTGGACCTCGCTGCATTTTATGGAGATGCGGAGATTGTAAGTGACAGTTTAGGATTGTTGAAAACATCCCAACACACAGCACTGACGCGCTCACAGGCATGCCAACAGTCTGCATTGAGAGCATCCCTGTGCCATTATTGAATAAATGCTGTTCTCCATTAGCCCTGCTCTTGACTGTCAACACAGCGTTGCACTGTATTTAACACTGTGCTCTCTTGTAGGTCCAGTACTTGGTGGAAAGAGGTGCAGTGATAGAGCATGTGGACTACAGTGGGATGAGGCCTCTGGACCGGGCCATAGGCTGTCGGAACACGTCGGTGGTGGTGACTCTGCTGAAGAAAGGGGCCAAGCTGGGTAAGAACACATTAGTTAACATCTGTTGCCAACAGCAGACTGGTTTTGTGAAGAGTCTGGTTTCCATTCCTGCATATGGCTCACTGTTCTGTGTGTGTGTGTGTGTGTGTGTCCTTCCTGTTCTCCTTCATGTACTGCTTGGCTAACTTAAGAATGTGTCACCTTGATGACATTCATAGGGCTCTCTGGATCTGCAGCTTACCTGCAGTGCACACCGCAAGAAAAACACCACAAAAATTTTCTTTTGGCACAATTAACAGTCTGCATGCATTCACTGCTAATAATACAAGGCCTTTTCAGGTTGAGTGGTACATACGATAATTGCATACTGTCACACTCCACTTTGAAACATTTTTCCTTTTAGTAGAAATGACTACTTTGTTGCATGACCTCTTTTTTTTCATCACTCTCTCAACTCTTCCTTAACTGCTTTCAAAAACTAAGGCTACAGAACATCACCTTACGATCGATCAGGTACAATCTTTAGGTAACTTGACCTTGTTCCAATTTCCAGAGAATAAAGCAACCCCATTAAAACCTTTCCTTGACTTCCCTCCTTCCCCTCTATACCTACAGGGAACGCTGCTTGGGCCATGGCTACTTCCAAGCCTGATATCCTGATAATTCTTCTTCAGAAGCTGATGGAGGAGGGAAACCTACTTTACAAGGTAATGTGCAACCAGCATTGACATAGCTTCCAGTCAACTATAGAGAGCACTTCACTTTACTGATGAATTGTTCCCAAGCTGCATTGTTATAATAATTTTAAAAAAGCATTGAGCACTTGAGGTTACCATAATAATGAAGTGGTTATCTAGCTTAGTTAAATGTAGTAGAATTGATGTGTGTGTTTTGCCTCGCTTACCAAGGGAGACATTATTGATGCCTGACATTTAACAGTTTAGCGGCAGAAAGGACAAACCTGTCAGGTGTAACGTGTGAATGTATGTGTGTTGTCTGTTTGATTGATGAGAAGGGAGGGCTTGAGCCAGAAAACGACTTGTGGGAGTATGTGCTTCTCTCCCCCACATTTTCCTTCTGGTTCCCTGCTCTTCTTCACTGCAAGCTTTGCCCTCCATGTGTCCTCCAGAAAGGGAAGATGAAAGAGGCGGCCCAGAGGTACCAGTACGCCCTGAGGAAGTTTCCTAGAGAAGGCTTTGGTGATGACCTGAAGGCGTTTAAAGACCTGAGGGTCTCCCTGTACCTCAATCTCTCACGCTGTCGCAGAAAAACCAATGTAAGCCTCCAGTTTTTCCCCTCCCTTTGTTCGTCGGCTGTATTTTAGCATGATCCTTTAAAGCTGCATTAACTAACTACTTCCTCTAACTTTTGACCATTAAGGGTGAAATGAGAGTGAGGGGGTTAGTAAAGCAGGGAGACAACACTTCTAGACAATTTTAGTTGATTTATCCAAATTTGTACTAAATCTGAGTTTATGTAGCTTTAAATAACTCACCGGATTTTTAGTTGTCAGTGTAATGACTATCATGGGGCACTGTCGAACTTATAATTGATGTAGAATACTTTTTTTCTGAGAAGTATCCCCAGTTGTCTTGAAATGTTACAAAGAGAATAAATCCGAGTAGGACTGAAATGCACAGTAATTTGAGCCTGCGTGGGCAGGAGAAGCTCACTAGTGTTTAAATTGTAACAGGGAGGAGAAAACTACAAACGTATTGGACAGTGGACTCAATCTCCTCTAATCTTCTTGTGCAACAGTTTTTGCTCCTGCATGTGCCAGGCTGCCTTATCGCTCAGTGCCAATCACTTGTTGCTTATTTTAGTTTAGTGACTGGAAATTGAATCATGAATTGTCTCCTGAATAATTGTTTCTGCAGAGTTTGTTGATACAAGTCTTCCCTAGCAGGAAGACGTTTGTAAAGAGGCAGCTGTTCAAGTGATTACATGCCGCAAGCTAGCAGGAGATATGAGCAAAACAGGCACAGCGAGGGTGTCTGTGTTTGTACAGTACATCATACCTGGGGGTGCCTGCTCAGGTATTTTATCACTTCCCACAGGGAGTATAAACTATTGAAGAGAGCCACATTCAGCTGTTACTGTTTAAAATTCCTGTACACAATGTTTAAAGTGTAATTAGTTTGAGTATCTTGGTTTGCATTGAAGGCTAACGTCATTAACGATTATGATGGAAGGGCCAGAATATTAATTGGTTGACTGAAATTAATTTATTCTGCTCATTTTGTAGGACTTTGGGATGGCTGAAGAATTTGCAACAAAAGCACTGGAGCTGAAACCAAAATCCTACGAGGCTTACTATGCCCGTGCGAGAGCTAAAAGAAGCAGCAGGTAAACTATTCAGCAAAGCTCCAGACCGGCTTCTGTCATCAGCATAAGCATAGCTGATGGTAAATAATCTTCAGTCTTCTGGATCTGGTAACAGTGTCTGTCTGTACTGTCTCATCCACAGGCAGTTTACAGCAGCCCTGGCTGACCTGTATGAAGCAGCCAAGCTGTGTCCTAACAACCGGGAAATCCGTCGATTACTGGCTCGAGTAGAGGAGGAGTGTAAACAGATGCAGCGCACGCAAACCAAAGGAGCACTGGCTGGGGGGGGTGCAGGAGACAGGAGGACATGAGTCTGATCCAGAGCCAGATGAAGGACAGGCGGACCCTTCAGAGCACAGCCTTGGTAGGAGTGTGGAAGGCCAAAAAGACATCCTGGAAGAAGAAGAGGAGGAGGAAGCCTCGCAGCATGACAGGGCCACTGAAGCCTGCTGGTCACAGAATAGTCACACCTACAAGAGAGTCTTATCTTCTGAGCCTGTCAGCAACAGTATGGGCCATCAGACCTCCAGCTCACCCCCAGGCCCCAGCAGGCTCCCCCCCCACCGGTACCCTCGAGAGCACAGAGAGGTGCTGGCCCAGCAGGGCCTTGTTCTGCAGCCCACCAAGCAGGCCCAAATAGTCAAGACCAACCAGCATATGAGCTTCATGCAGGCTGGGGGAGGGGCTGTGGGGGGCCGATCAGGAGGGTCCAGATCTCAGTACGCTCCTTCCAGTCCCTTACCCAGTCGACACATGTCCAGCATGCTGAAGCCTGGACCAGGCATTGACATCAGCCCTTTGCCTCCCCCAGCTGACGAGCCTGTGTTCGGGAACCGCATGTCGCTGGCAGCTGCTTCTGCCTCTGTAGGTCACAGTTGTGAAAATGATAACCTCCATTCATCCCAGATGTCATACACCAAGGGTCTGGGGCAAGATAGGCTGTCTGCCCACTCTGCATCTTCATTGGATGGGTTGGCCTGTTCTGGTCCTGGTGCCCAGGGGAACCACACTGATCCAGGAATAGATGGGATGTGTGGTGCCATAGGGCCACAGGGAGGAGGCAGCAGCATGCGTGTGTCCAGTTCCACCAGCAGCCTGGCCTCAAGCAGCAGTCTGTCAGACAGTGGCAAGCTAGGACCTGATGTCCGCACCAAGACAAAGCAGAGCCAACAGGCAAGCTCTGCAACAGAGTACAAACCCAGACCCTTCATGGGCATAACTGACAAGACAGTGCGCTTTCAGCAGCAGATCCAACAGCAGCAGCACAGCCTGCAGTCTGCTGGCCGCGGCTGGCTGAACCATTCCTCTGATGGCCTGGTGTGTCACATGTCAGCAATGGGTCTGCAGCCTGTCGACTGTGAGCTGCCTTACACCAAGACAGTGAGCACCTACCAGGAGCAGCACAAACCACCACCTCATGGTGCTATGGCAATCAGTAGCTTACAAAACGGCATGCATGCCAAGGAGTTCACAGAGAAATTCTGCCACCCTGCCAACTGTTACAAAGAGCCCAAGCCAGCACTGGGCCTGCAACACAATTTCACAGACAATAAGCCCAACCAGGCTGGCCTAGTCCGAGATAATCCCGCCCTTCACGTAGCTTCAATGAAACCAAAGCGATCATTTATAGAGTCAAATGTGTAGAGATGCTTTAGCTCATACTCTAGCTAAAATCTAAAGTGAGATGGGGTTGGTTTAATCTTGATAACCAGCCCCAGACAGTAATCTCACTTTGAAGCCTTGTCAGAAGTCCAGTATGCAAACTGTTTTCCTGTGTGACTACAGGCCACAGGCAGTGGAGTGAACTCGTCACATTCTCTCTCCTCTCAACCTGTCGCTTGTGGCTGTCAGTGTCTGTTACATGACGTCTTGCCGTCATTCAGCCAAGCTGAAGACTTTGCACTGAAGGAAGTATTAGGACATGTAATGTACAGTCCTCATCAAAATAAAACGGTGACAGTGGGCACTTTATGTACAGTTGGGCTGCTCAAGTGCTTAAACACAATATTCAGTCACAGCTTAATGTCATTACTGAACAGTTTAGAGTAAAAGGAAATGAGGTTGAAACTGTGTTTGTTACGTCCATGGTGCTGAGAGAGGAGAAGGAAGAGAAAGTCCTTGGTGGAAGTTTTAAGTCTAAAGGACGGGCATTCCTTCATTTATATTATATAAATATTTACTTTTCCTTCTTTATAGTGACGGTCTATGTTAAGTGTATTGACAAGTTCAGACTTCTGCATTTTGAATTTTATGCACAGTGTTGTTCAGGTGGTGTTAAAGGTTCTAAAAAGCATTTGTTGAATATGTTTGTACATCATTTGTCACCATTAACATTGAATTGAAAGCCTTTCTGTATCTGCTTGTTGTTGCTGTCTAGTTTAATTTATTTACAGTGCCAATGGCTTGGTTCATTGTAAAAGCAATATATTTTATATAGTTATTTTTGCACAGCTACGAAGGCATTTTATGATTCTCAATAACGATGAGTAAGTGCATGCTACAATTGCGGTTTCTATTACAGAGTTTAAAAAAAACATGGTTTTGGGGCACAGCGCTATCAGCTCTATTTTAATATGTACCTTCAACGCAGTTGTTGCCATGTTTTCAGTATTGTGAGCTTTATTAGCAGTGATCACATACTGTTATAGAACATTATCGCCATTAGTCACCATGGGAGAGAGAAATAAAGACCCACTGAGGAAAACAAACAGGTCTGCTAACGTTTATTCTACATAGGATTTCTTAAGAGGGTATTTATATAAACATTACACCAAAAAGCCCCCAGTCCGCGCAACTTTTCATTTAAAGAGAAACATTTTTGGCAAACAGTGGCCATAGGTGGCAATTACAGCGTAATCCCATAATTAATTTACATTCGTTCTGAGTGAGGTACAACCGGGTACAATGTGTTTACTTCTTGCTCCATTTCATTCTTCTGACCACCAGACTGTGTGATACCCAGGTCCCCCAGGACCAGCACTGGCCTGTGAAGCAATTTGGCACAGAATCCATTCAGTCTCCGTGGGACACTCAAGGTTCCTCTGGTGGGCCATTCCTCAGCTTACAGGTCTGTGCCTGGTGTACAGAACCTGGCTTTAGACATGGTTTCTTGTCAAAAGTTCCCTTCATGCAAGTGGAGACTGAACCCATAAACAGTTCAGCTCATTTGGGAGAAGATACCATGGAGCAGAGTTCAACCTGTTTTCCTCAGAAATGTCGCCACACTGCCCGTTGTGGTTCTCCCTGTTGGCTAAAGACCCAGTATGTCCTCTTCAGGCCCTGAGAACATACTGTATATAGACGTGTCGGCAGGGTTCCATAAGTCGGATGCACTGCTGGTCTGTTATGGAGAATACTGGAAAGGCTGTGACTCGTACTGAGACTTTCCAACTGGACTGTTGATGTGATAACCAAGGCTTAAATCCCTTCAAAGTCCATTATTTGAGCTCTCTTTCAACCAGAGGTGTCTCCATCTGAAAGGCGTTCCACTGAGTGACATCTGTGCTGTGGCTACTTGGGCTTCACTGTGCATTTTTGCTTGCTATGGCTGGATAGATAGGAGTACTATCTTAATCCCCAAGGGGACATTCAGGATTAATGTGCCACCTCTTATCTTCTGTGGCAATGGCAGTCTTGCCTTTATCTTTAGTCTGCAACTGAGGCACAGTGAGTGCAGACTCCTTGAGGCTGTGGTGGTACAGTGTGAGTCATCCAGGCATTACACACAGCAACATAAAAACATTCAAATGATTTGTCTGTGACACGCTAAACTGTAGCCACAGTAGCAGAGTCACTGTCAGCTGTCAAACAGTAATATCTAACCAAAATGTGTTCAAATGAGTTGACATTAACCACTGCACACTACTGGTCATAGCAGATGGGGTAGGCTGTAGCAGCAAAGCCCTGGAGTGTAGTGATTAGTGCAAGGCTGTGTTTTATTGCTCACAAATTCCACTTCTCATTTGTAAGTGAAAGAATGTTATTAAGTTACATAATCTCACTTTAAAGCCAATAATTAAAGCAAGCTTATATAACTTTAGCTGAACGGCAGCCACTGTGCCCACAAAAGTAACCAAACTGATTAATGTCCATAATACAGTTAACTAAACTTAGCCACGGTGCACTTTATTTCTCATGAATTACACTTTTCACTTGTGAGAAACCTGTACACAGCGTTTCTCCAGGCAGTAGTGTCTTCAGATATGCAGTATAATGCCTCGATAGGTGACTAGTTTTTACTGGGTAAACATCCCTCAACTTGTCCGAACCATTCAGATTTTGTCAGGTTTGTGGTACTTACAGTACTTTTAATGGTACTTGTTCTCAGAGGAATTACTTTAAGGATGAGGTATCTGTTTGGTAGACGAGCTAGAAAGAGCTGCTGTCTACAGGCTTGACTTCCATCGTGTTATTGCTGCCTTCAGAGATCGGTTGGGGGTGAGGAGTGTCGTCTGTAAGGGAAGATTCGTCATGGGGCTGGTTTTGTTCTTCCCTCTGATCCAGCTCTCAATGGATTCACGCTCATAGGAATACCCATCTACGGAGCAGACACATCGTCACTCCTTAAAGCCACACACAAAGTGTGGAGAAATTTAAAAAAGGAAAATCACAGACACTCTCCCCAACTCTGTTTGAGACTGAAAAGTTTTTAGCATTTGTCGTCTGACCTGCAGCGATGACTGGATCCTTCATCAGCTCTCTGGTGATTGGACACAGAAACTCATCTGGGGCCT